TCTCTCTCTCTCTCTCTCTTTCTCTCTCTGTCTCATTGTGTCATACGGATTACTGTTAATTTATTATGCTGATCTGTTCTGTACGACATCTAGGTTTCTACCGTTTTTTTTCCCCGTTAAAGGGGTTTTTTTTGGGGAGTTTTTCCTTATCCGCTGCGAAGGTCGTAAGGACAGAGGGATGTCGTATGCTGTAAAGCCCTGTGAGGCAAACTGTGATTTGTGATATTGGGCTTTATAAATAAAATTGATTGATTGATTGATTGAACAAGTTTGCCCTATCAACTTCAAAAAGGATGATGTGTTCACAGCTTGTTTCTGTGCACCCAAGTAGTGACAAAAATTAGCTATTGAATGTTTGAATGATCAATAAGTAAATTATGTTAGAGACTTACAAAATACAGAGTGTCTAGCTCTTGGAGTCTGTAGCTTATCTGTCTGTGTGAATGTGTAAGACAGAGAGATACTGTAGAGGGAGCATGTGTGCGCGCCAGTAAATGCAATTCTCAGTTATACACTGCCATGCGTGTTTCAGTGTCACAAGTGTTGGTCTTTTGCAAGGGGATGCGGACATTAAACTATAGTGGGGCAAACTGATTGTATTGACCTGTGGCTATGTTTGAAACATTAATAGTAAACCTTGTGTTTATTATGTCAGTTTCCTTTCCACTCTCTCCTCACATACTCACATCGAAAAAACATCCCTAAATCCACTCAGTATTCAAATTAATGGTATAAAAACTCTTATACACTTATGCACTCTTTACGCTGCTGTCATGATTTGCCACATAGATTTTTGAGCGCATACTGCATTGAAATAGATCCTGAAGTTAGAGTCCATATTGTATGTAATAAATTGAGAATTGATTTTTGAACTGGGAGTCGTTCAACCGAGAATTGATTTTAAATTGATTCTTGACCCCAAGAATCAAACCATTAGATACTGTAAAATTCACACTCCTAAAATTCATACAGTATGTACTTATTTTCCCTTTTGTCACTAATGGCAGCTTTTAGGTAAATACGCAGAGCCAACAATACTATCAATGCATTGTTATAATTTTCTGATTCTGTTCCTCTAGTTGCTCTCAGGTAGCTCTTGTTTCATGTAGTCCAGCTGCAGCTCCAGATCTTGTTTTTTGTTTCCATAGATAAATCTCTTAGGATCTCCATTGAGCCAATCATGGTAACTGGGTGCAGGCCCTGCTCCTTTTCCATCATCACTGAAGAACTCACTGAAGAAATATTTTTTGTCGCTTAGAATTCAGCTGGCAGTGGAACACGGCTGACTGTGGCATGTATTTCTTTGAGTTTATTCTGACTGATCGAGCAGCAGTTTTGATGTCAGACCTACTTGAATGTACAGTCATGTGCTGCCAGCTCGGTGTCATCCAGCTGTAAGGTCAGCTCTGACACAGCAGTGCCAGCTGCCTGGATCTCGCACAACAAAGTAATTACTCATGTCACACTGAATGACTCACATCAATGGGTACAATTTTTTAATTTTCATCAAATCTGGCAAAACTCCAGTCTGTCAGTATTCCAGTAAACTAGTTGCTGAGAAAAACATGTAATGCAAACAGATTTTTAAAAATAAAGTAATCTGTAAATCTGATGAGATGTCAATAACTCACCAATAATCTGACATAGGCTCCAGGAAGCTGACTTTCTCTGGCCACCTGTGGAGGTTGACCAGCTGTCATTGATGCTGCTGAATGCTCCGTGAAGCAGTGAAGCTGACACTGTGAGCCACCTCTTGCTATTTCCACAGCCAAAGTCCCAAGTCACACTACAAAGTCTGCCAAAGGAACCAGCAGTGGATGTACAGATGCCCTTACCTGCTGTCCTTCCAACCACTCTGCCAGATCTCTGGGACATAGCAGTCATCGGCTCCCACGGTGATAAGACCCAGACGCCCTGACAGAGGCTCCAGAGCCAAAACCTGCAACTGGATACGCAGCTGCGGCTCTCGGGTGTGATCACTGCAGAGACAGGAAGGTCTCTGGTATCTTCTGAAAACAGAATCTCTATCTCAGTTCTAGAAATATAAATCCATGTATCCACGGGTGTGTCAAACATGTTTTCCTATATAAGCTAACTAAACATAATGGAACCTTTCCATTGTGGCATTGGTAGTTTTTTATTTTTTATTTTTTGGATCAACATAACCAAAAAGTAAAGCTGAAACACTACTTAGCCTGGGTTGTACCTTTACTTTTATTTTCACCATCATCATCATTATTCCATTAAGCTATAATAAAATAGGTGTATGATTAATGCTTTGTGCAATAGACAGTAAACTTTCTACAGAAGAACAAAATACATTTTCATTTTAATTAATTTTGTTTATGTTGTGTTAATATTTCTTTGTTTTTGGCATAGTTTAAATATGTTTTATAGCAATTAACTTCACCAATTACACATACTTGCCTATATCTAATATTTAAAACTCCTGAATTAATTTGGTGTGAATAAAGTTCAAAAGTGTTCAAGTTATCGAAACTATCTACTAACTAACTACTTTGTCAGATTTTACTGTTCCAACCCCAGAGCATCAAGTCATCCCACTTTAGTGTCAGCACAGATAATTGAAACTGAGACTCATGAAATTGTGTTCAGATCAGATAATTTATATACAAGTTGAGGCATCTCAAAATGTGATGTAATTGTGCTGTGGCATTGCTAAAGGACTAGAGAATAACCTGTTGACCTCATGTACTCTCTTCAAGGATTCCTAGCGATAGCAAACTTCACAGTCCTGCTGCAAAGAGATGCCCAAGAACACAAATTCTGTACTGTACGCTTTTACAGTAACTGACATTATTGTGCTGTTGTTTGTATGTCCATGGGTCCATTGCAAACACAAACTGCTAACAGCTAATTTGGCATGCTTTTAATGGTGCCAGTTAGCCAAAATGTAACATATATAGGCTAAAAAGTTGTGGCCCAGTTGTCTCAATGTTCTCTGAAGGGGGCCACAGTGTCCGCCATTGAAAACCCCTGGTCTGTTTTGATACACAATATATGGGCCAAGAATGATTTGATATACTGCAGAACATACAGTTCCTAAGTTGGTTCTCAACTTTGCTCAGTAGTTTTCAGTTCTTTCTTGACAGCCAAACCATGCTGAATGCAAGGTATCATTTTTAGTATCTATAGACTATACATTTACACTAATGACTGTGATTTACTCATATGCACATAAGTTATTTGACTGTGTCTTGAGATACAGCTGACCTCTGTGTAATAAACACAAGTATAGCCACTAGTACCTTATCTGTCCATTACCTGCTATTCCAATTTGCAAGAATGTGGCCACGGCTTCCAAGTTTGTGTGTTTCCTCCTTGTGAACAGATGTATTTTTGGCACAATCTTTTCCGAGTTTTAATACTTATTCCCACACTCTGTTTATGCATTAAAGGTCCTTTTCACTGAAACTGATTCTGGAGTACAATTATACCAATTCATCTGCAAACGCATTTTGTGGAGGCAGCCATATGTGCCAGCACTAGTTGTAATTATTCTCACAAGTGCAACTCTATTCTTGAAATGTCAAGTTTATTTTTGAGATTTTGACTTTATTCCTAAAATAGAAGAGGAAGATTTTTGAATAAAAATCCTTCTCCTCAGATTCATTTTTTTCCTAAAGCCTGGCACTGACACTGAAAGTTTGACTTTATTCTTGACATCTTGGCTTTATATTGGTAATGCAAAATAAAACTGAAAAATCTTCTTCCTCCTCTCATATTTTTCCCCTTATGCCTGGCACTAATGCTTCTCTGTGGTTACAGTGATACCATTGTTGCTTAAAAAAAAAAAGAAATTATGAGTTAACCTTTAACTTTGTTTAGAGATGACAGTCATACTGTTAAGTGCTGGTACAAAAACTTCCATCTCAGTCACAAAACAGTCTCACTGTATCACATAAAACCACCAGAGGGCAGGGTTTCCTGGATGAACACAAACTCATGTACTGTAAATTGACCATGGCTATTTGACTTGTGCACTGAACGTACAAACATATTGTTTGCTATAACAGTTGCAGTAATGCGACTAATAAAAATATGATTAATATAGTTTTCACAATCACATTTTGCATAATGGCATCAGAAAATAGTTTCTGGCTTGCTGTAATAATAAGGAGTGACACAGAATTGGATGAGATCAGAAGGGGGTGGGGACGAGGATGACCCGACATCGAGAGAGGAAGAAGGTCACCGAACACACTTTCCCACCCAGACGCACGCACACACACACACACACACACACAAACGCAGGCCCACCCTGCAGTGTTATGTTTGCCAGATGAGGGTGTGATACATGACTGCTGTCACTGCTTCCTTCACTACATCAGCACTTGCGCAGCATAGCAACTGCACCACAATATACTGCTCACTGAAGATACAGTGAAACACTACCTGAGGCACAAACTAATGCCATCTGCACTGCACTCAAGGGAAAGGGGTGTTTAATCAAAAGCTGACTGAGGTTAAAGGGTACTTTTGCCGGAACGATGCCGCAACCCTGCTAATGTATCCTTGTGAACATGAGCTGAACTGCAGTCTGCTGCTTCCATGCAATGATTGGCTAAAAAAAAGAGCCATTTTACATGGTTGTCATTTATCCAACAGCCAAAATAAGTAAAAATAAGCAACAGCCAACAACTGAACTGTAGATTTAATTGAATAAAATATAGAAAAGTATATTAAAATACATACAGTAAATGGTGTGAGAGTGGACAGAATGTGCGCTCTCATATGGTACAGTAAGTCCTGACAATGGCAGAAATATAACAGTATATAAATACACATTTTTTTCTAAATCTGAAAGCAATCAACCATGGCTTTCTTGTCATTCAAGAGTGAACAATACATAGCTACAAAATCATGATTCAGGTGAAAGATAACACTTTTATCTTCGTGTCGTTGCTCAGTGTTTATCACTATGCTGCACAGACTATTGTTCATCTGTCTGTCTGTCTTTTTCTCTGAATTGGATTTAAATGTTGGATAAACTTTGCTTTAATTAGCTCATCATGTGATCATGAGGATTGTCGTTGTTTGGACGGGGGGAAAGTGCTGAAGGATTTCTTGCTGTTCAAAAATAGACAATACCAGGAAAGAAATCTCCCTTTTCTGGGCGCACCCGCTCATTGTGTCCCATCTGTAACCTCTGACCTCAAACTTTACACGCACTATGGCTCACATAACCAGATCCATGCATCACACTATACTCATTTTCCTGTCCTTTCTTTACACATAAAGAGGACCCTTTTCAGAGATCAAACATGGAAATATACCTGCATCCAATTAAAAACAGTTTAGGCTTCCTCTGCAAACATACTGTACATTGTGGCTCAAAGCAGAGTAATGTTTGAGTGGCAGCAAGAAGAGAAGTTACATAAGAAGAGTTCAGGGGTTCAGTAAAAAAAAATTACATTGTCTTTTATCAATGCAACTGCTGTCTGACATCATGAGGAGAGTCAACACAAATACATTTCAACTTCACTTTTGCAAGCTCCAGAGCTTTTGTCATCATAACCCTGAATACTGGGTTCTCCAGTAAAAAGAAAAAAAACAAGCTCTGTTTTCTGAATAATGTGTGCAAATTGAATGTGACATAATAAAGTGGGGTGGTTGAAAACAAAACTTTTGTCACAGTATGGTACAGGAATTTATAATAACCTAGATTTTGTCACAGTGTCATCTTCTTGATAGGTTTCCCCTGTGCCTGATATCTCAGAATTCCTCTGAATTGTGAAGGTAAACTTATCAGAAAAATTCAGTCCTCTGCAAGGTCACTGGTGAGATGAAAGCGCAGCTGCGGTGTATATGTAAACAAGCTGTAGTCCTCAGGTTGGGATAAGAGGGAGAGCGCAGGTCAAAAACACGATATTGAAGCAGAGTAGAGATTCAGGATTTTCAGGAACTGCCATCCCCATTCTTGGTCTTGAGCACCACGAGGCTTACCATGACAGGGATTAGACAGATGGGGGTTATCACCAGGGCAAAGATGATGACTGGCGGTGGGTCACTTAGCTCCTCTGAGGGACAATCCTTGAAAAACCTGGAGTGAATGTTCAAAAAGGTCTGTTCCACCAGAGGGTTGGGCCATGGGATTACTAGACAGTCCGATATCTCCTCTGTGCATTGGCTTAGGTTACTGTACAAACTGCAGTGTGGAGACAGGGAGTGTCAAGAACAGGATTCAGACATCAGCAAATATTTAACAATATTTTTAATGTTAAGGATGAGGAACTGCAAATATAAACACACACACTACTTACCCGCTCACATTACTCCAAATGCACCAGTCATTGCTGTTTAGTGATGTCATTGCATTCTCATAATTGGAGAGACATAGATGGTTTAACAGAGTGGAAAGGCAATCCATTGTTGGTCCACCATAATACGAATGACATAGGTCGCAATACTCCATGCACCTGTTAGTAGTATTCCCACAAGCTGCATGAATGAAAGAGTCAGGAAAAAAAGAGACATTGAGACAGATTATAAAATGGCAATAAAGATGTTTTGGACATTTTTAAAAGATCTCTGTTCTTTCTTACAGAAGGTTGTATGTCTGTGTATTAGGTTATAAAGTTATGTAACCTACCAAATGACAAAGCTGATTCTCCATGAGTGGCATCTAAAACAGAGAAAAATCAGATTTTTAGATTTAAATGTTTTTACATCAAACAGTAGACTATAAAAAGCTTACATAAACCCTCTTTAAATCTTCCATGTAATGTCTTTCTGATTTAGTTAATGACATAAGTTCTATAAAGACATACATCCTAGCAAAATTCAATGCAAAGACTATTTTTGTCTATTGTAGCTCATGAGTTACTTCACATGTCTCATACTGAGGCAGGCATTTGCAGCTGTAGAAGAGAGACCACACACTCACCGCAGAGAAAGGAGAGGAATACCCCAATGAAACCAAGTGCTCCCTTCATGTCAGAAAAAATGAATAAAGGTGCGTTTTCCCCAGCCGGTGACCATGTATAATAAACCTAAACTTCTCAGACTGTGTACGGCGAGGCATAACAGGAAACCCGACAGGAAGCAAGAGACGCAGTGTAACCTTCGGTTACCAGATGTCCAAACAGTGTTACCCGCGGTTACCAGATGTTCTTCGAAGATCTGTCTGACGGCCCTGCACCTTGGCAGCAGCTCTTCCCCTCTCCAACACACGTTTCTTTAGGATTTTCTTCCTTTTTTAAAGGGGTGGAGGCAACAAAGATTGTCCTCTCCATTCTCCCAAATAAAAGGGAGCACACCCAAGCTGGGCTGGACTCACATCTGAAAACCCTTTACTCTTTAACTCTTGTTCTGCTTTTTAGTCTCAGTTTCTCACAGTCGAAGGCCTGGCCAGCTCACAGCATGTGATTTATTTGCCTTTTGGGCTGCCTCTGCCAAATAGGAAACATAAGTAAACATTTAGGGCTTAGCGTTTTGGGGTGGATGTAATCATGACTCTGCAGGGTGTGCTGTGTAGACAGCCATGATTTCATATTTAGGTTAATTCAACTAAACCTGGAGGAAGTTATTAGTCAGAGCTGACCAGCTGTTTAAAAGGCCAACTAACTGGTATTTTCACCACAAGTGTGGGAAACTTTAGTTTTTTTATGTCATAAGGATCTCATGAGTGTTCTACATCTGTAAGGTAGTTTCTCACTGTCACCACTCACCACTTGAAAGAGCATTGTGAGAGAGGTGGTTTCATTGATTGAATGAAAAATGGAATGTATGGTTCACGTTTTCTCACGACTAACTTGTTAATTTATGTCACTGAATCCACATGTTGGGCCTCTCGCAACATCTGTTTGCCGAGCAGCATTTTGATTTAGTAATGACATCAGGAAATGTGTCTTTTCAGCAGAGGAGGAGCTCAGAGTTGGGGGGAGTTGGCAGGGGAAGGAGGGGGGGGACAGTCAGGGGAAAGAGGAAAAAAAAAGGGAAGGCACAGGAGGAGGAACAGTGAAAGGGGCGCTGCTCCAAAGTTCCAGTTGTTTCACAACCCGGAGTTCATGCGTTGATCACAGACGTTGCATGGGGTGAATGACGAACAAATTCAGGAAGTTGCGCCAGGTGGGGGCTGCTCATAATGAGGTTTAAGTTAACCTTTAGCCCCAAACCACTATGGGCCTCGTGTCTACTGCTGTTGACCCCTCACTGGTAGAGACCTCCCCAGGAGTTTGTCTTGGATTCTCATGATAGTACACACAAGGAGATCTTGGCAGAAACCAGGATCTCTGTGCTCTGCTTTCTGTGTTTGTCAATTCCAGGCCAAGCAATTGAGTTAAAGGAACTGATCCAAAGCAACCCCTCAGCGGACACAAATACATAATCACTATCTGTGCCTATAGAACGCGTAAATAAGATTAATGCACTGATTAAATCAAAACCTGACCATTAGCAGATTTAGTTAGTTAGGGAGACACAGATGTGTAGTAAACACTCTAAAGTAATTGAAAAAAGTTGTAAACTTACTAGCAATCGTCATCTCTGTTGAATGATATCCTGTGAAAAGAGGTCATGTTAGTCCAAGTATTTGTGGTCATGTATTCATTTTCTTTTTTTCTCTTTAAAATACACATACCTATTGTTGTGGGTGGTTGTGCCGCTAACTTTTCATCAACCAGACAAACCACTGATGTGCATCCTGTTATAAGAGAAATTAAAGTATGGGAGAAAAGGATGGAAAAATGATAACACCTCAGTTTGTAACAGAAATAATTAAACTGGATTATAATACACAGTCCTGCATATAGTATACAAGTAACAGAGGTAAAGGAAATAACAAGGAGTAAGCTATTGGGAGTGAACAGGTCAATGCATCCTCTCTTTGTCTACCATTCCATTGAGGAAATCCTAACTTGAGGATATTTAAACTTACAATACATTACCCTCTTAGGAGAATGAAATATCTTATTTAATAAATAATAATATGTATTGCATAAACCATTGAAATAAACTGTAATAACATTCTCAACAACTTGTAACATAACATTCTTCTTTAAAAAGTGAATTTGTTGTCAAGGTATGACCCTTAAACCAAAGTGTTTAAGTATAAAACTCAATCATGAGACTCGCTAAGCTCCTTTCTAAAAGCCACTCAATCACTGAAAGCCCCTAAGCATTCCACTTGAGAGGTGAGATGGAGGGCAAGTAAAGAAGTTATATCATAAGAGTGAAGAAATGGACTGTATAAATCCTCTACTTACCCCAGATGAGAAGAGTCACAAAACACCCAGAAAACACAAGTGAGGAACTAGTGGCTGTCATTTTGCCTGACAATGCTCTGTCCGTCTTCCCTGGTGGGTAGGGATTACATATCTCAACCTTTTTGCAGGAAGGCTCTATAAAACAACAGGAAGCCCTCATTTCCTAGGATGGGCGGATTCACACAATGGGACAGAGAGCCTCTGATAAGGTTAGAACTGCAGAGGTCCACTGGTGCACCAACATCACTCTCTCTCTCTCTCTCTCTCTCTCTCTGTCTGTCTCTCTCTCTCTCTTTATCTATTTCTTTCTCTCATCCCACCCTCTGTTTTCAAAGAGAAAGAGAGAAGATGGGGAGAGCCCCACCCTCTCTTTTCCTCTCTCCCTTGCTTTGTCTCTACCTTTGATTCTTTAACAATAAAAGCAATATTTGGATGTCAATAATGGGTTCACACACCAAATGGACTAATAGCGTGTGAGCTGTATTGGACTGAAAAGATTCATGCTGCTATTTGAATATCAGACAACTTGTTTTTTTAATTTTCTGCATGTTTCACTTGAATGGTAACTTGAAACAGTAATTTTGTGCTGAATAAATTTTTAGCACCAGGAGCCATGAAGCCAGTTCGCAGCAAAAGAGACATGCATGGCCATCTCAAACAATTAGTCCTTACAACTATTATGAGATATTTTGGTTCTTTATCCAAAAGTACCATTTAATGAAAGTAGGAACAAATGTTGTATGACTTTGTATGTCATTTTAAGAGTAATCAATAAAAAATAAAGAGACAGAACCAGAGACATTGTCTTTTTTGTATTTCACACATTTTCTTCCTTGTCAAAATATGGTGCCTGCATTACCCACAATGCAACTTGACCACAGACAGTTCCATTGGAGAGTTGAAAATGTTAGCTAGAAGCAGCTAATGTAGTCCAGAGTGTGTTTGATCAATCCACTCTATAGAGACGTTCTCACTTTTTCTCTGTATCAAAAAGAGCTGCCAGCCGGTACGTTTCATAACCTGTGCCTTTGTGCGTCGGTGTCTGACGCAGATGTCCACTTTCGCAGCGGTGGCATTTAACAATTTAGGTCATTGCCTGCCGCCGCCCACTGCGTATCATATTACCGCAGAAGGTGCATCTGTGCGTCAGTATCTCACGCCAAGATAATTGACAAAGCTGCAGTATTTGAAGAGCTGGGAAGCTTATAGGCTGAACATTACATAGGAGAAGCCATATGTCAGAGATCATGTCACAAATGTCTGATATCGCACTGAAAAGATTTTACAGATGTTAGCTAGTTGTCAATATTTGAATATTGACATTTTTTAACATTGGAAATTGGGTTTTTAATTGGGTTTGGGTCTGAAACTGCTGCCCTGGTTCGGGTTCAGGTCAGGCTTGGTCAGAAAGTTTGCGGGTGAAAGTAGGGTTGGGCCTAATTTTTTGGGCCCGATCATAGCTCTAGACTACATATCTGGTAAGCTAATTTCTTTTTAAGTCCAGAGATTTTTAAACTTGTGGTCTTCTGCCCCAGTAGTTGCTGACTCAAGTGACATCACTCGAGGCACCTTATCAGATTTTGCGGGGTTCCCTGTGGAGCCGCAAAAGCTTTACAGCTTTAATCACATATGCAGCAGGATTACCCAAGAGCTGTAAACAGACTTTTATGGGTTTCTGTTTTGTTGCTGTAGGCCAGCAGTACAAGATTTACTATACTGCTGTTGACTGAGAAATTTGTTTTTTGTATCTGTGCTGTGTGTTACACCATCAGTGCTGACGAGAAGCAACCCCTCCCACCACCTCTGGATCTGACGTCACACTGTTCCTCTGTGGTGAAGAGAGGCGGCAGGGATCTCCAGTATGAAACTGATGCACTCATCCACGTCACTGAAGGATGAGTGCTCTTTCTCAGCTGCTGGACTTGGAAGGGAGCCAGCAAGCTCGGGGCCAAAATTGCTTCCACATTTCATTTCAGAAAAAGGAGGCCACTCTTTTTTTTATGTAACAGAGTGAATTTTAAAAAAACCCCACATACATCTGCATCAAACTTTCACTGTGAGTGAAGTTTAATAGCCGAATGGATTTGACTACAAGGAGGAGCTTAACATGTTTCAAATGTTCTGAGGGAAGAAAGAATAAGCAGAAGTTTACATCTCTTTGATTAATAAATGTTTCTTACATATAGTAAAAGTCTAATATTTTCAATGACTAGAGGTAGGTATTTCATCAGCTACTTTGTGAATCTCTTCATCTTCAAGCCTTTGTCACAGAAGATAAAAGCTGCACCGTATCTGAAGGCATGACTCCCACAGTGACAGGTGCCAAGACCAACATGCACTGTTTACATTATACAGAATTAAAAACTTCCTGCTGATAACAGCCATGCTGCTCCCCAAGATTATCTTCCTGTGTGTGTTTGCTTTTGTTTGACAGGATGGTATCAACACAGCACGGGCTACTTCAAATACCACTCTAGACACGGCACACATGCTGTATCATCTGAGATACTTTTGCTCACTGAATGCATAATTAGTGACAAGGAATGCACGACATAAACTGCAGAACCAGAGAGCAGAAAGGATCCACAGCAGCATGCTGATCAGAGAGAAACACACGGGGGCAGTCATGCTGGTGTATTAGCATGATATAAGACCAAACCATGTCAAGATAGCTTTCTTTATCCCAATTACATAGAAGTATATACTGTATATGTGAGCATATGATGTGTCATGGGACGAAAAGTAGCTGAACAGTGCCATCTTGTGTGCCTGAGGAGAAGCATTTCTGTGGTTTACTTTTCCATTAAGGGTATATTTTTTAATAAAGTGGTTCCAAACCCTTTTCCTCAAGGGGCCCCTTTTCTATCATTGAGTCAAATGAAAACTCCTGACTAAGTGACACAATGCATGGATATTTCATATTATGTTTAATGTTAACATAACAGTGCAGAACAACTGATAAACTGTACAATTAACCCAATTAGTGCACAGAATAACTGCAGGAAGTTGGTGTGAAACAAGTGATATTGATGAATTTTGAGTTTGTTTTTTTTTTGTTTGTTTGTTTGTTTTTAATTTGCTATTTTTAACAATCATACATAATGGACAGATTCAATGTTCCCCCTGTTGCTTGGCTGTTGTTCTATTAGCTCTTCAGTTTCTTGTCAACTGAGTATTTTTTAAACGTAGGGTGAGGCGAGCAGAGAGTGAAAGTTTTGTCAATACAGCTCCTGTTCAGGTCTTCACCGTGCCCTTATCCTGTGAGATTCTGTGAGCAGTTTATATCTTGAATAATAATCTTAACTTTGAAAGGCTGAGATATAGGCCAACTATACACACACACACACACACATATATATATATATATATATATATATATATATGTATAAACATTTTCTTAAACCCCTTAAAATCAAGAAAGCATTGTGACCCCCCCGTGAAGCCTTGGCAACCCTTCAAGGGGTCAGGGCCCCAAGTTGGGAACCAGTGAATCAGAAAATTTAACTGAGATTTGATTTTTATTTGCATCTCTTTTAGGTCATTGGCTAATCTTCCAGAGTCCACATTAAAAACAATTAATCATATAATAACTCATGAACAACTTGACACGTAACCGTTTACAC